TCCACCAAACATTTCCAAATTATATAAATTATTTATACTGTCATTATACTTTCACCTTTTCCCTGCAATACCCACGGTTCGCCAATTGATGGCTTAGAAAATGATAAAAGAATTTTAGCATTTTAGTCTTAATGCATGATTTTTACATTTCATTTATCTTAGTTCAGACGAGACCACCCCTGGACGGAAGGAACTAAATTTACTTATTTTAGCGTCATAATACTAAAGCCATCTGTTTCTCCCTGTTCATTTTTCAGAAGTGAAGAAACGCACTTGTATCTGGTGACGATCATGTGTGTTTCTTCAAACCTCAACCTCAAATACTTTCTTTATATTTTTTCGTGCAACAATAGATTTGTTTGTTTATTGTCTGTGATGTCCACAGCTTCTGCTACAGTTTGACATTATTTTCATTTCTCACTCTCTCTCTGTGAACACACTCTGATCAGGCAGTTATATAAAAACGAAAATGTTAAATCAGGTCACCCTGAATAAAGACCAAACTAAAGCAGACAATCGAAATATTGGATTCAATAGATTCCCTAGTTTCAAACCTCTGCTTCACATGATAAATCTAAGAAGAAATAAGTGATACAAAGAAAGAATTAATGTTGAGAGTTTCAAGTTTACATCCCCTTAATGTAAAAGCTACCAGATGGTTTGTTTTTAGTTAAAGTGTCCCCTTTAAGGAGTTTATTTATCTAGAGTAGATATGAATATTCTTTGAAGAAAAGCATCCTCAGAAGAAATGTGAGCTTCGTCACATCTGTTATTGAGTAGCGAGATTTACATAAGTAGACACGTTGGCCAGGCTGTGCACAGAGCTGTTGGAGTGATGATTTTGCTGTGTTTTGCCTGACAATATTTGCCGTTTCTCTGGGTAAAATACTGGTGGATTTCAAACGAAAACATCGCTCATTGTGAATGTACTGTCAAATATACATAAGCAAGTCAAAGTCAGCAGTCTCCATGACCACCACCCAAATCACACTGCACCGTACCAACCCCCCTGAAACTTCCAGCGGGTGGTGAGTACACTGGAAGGTACCAACTGTCCTAACCGGGATTCGATATTGCCCAGAACACAGACATTGCCTCTGGGCCAAAGCGCCACATTGAACAAAGTAAATTAGTAAAAATATAGTACATTTTTTTCACTGTGTCCCAGTACTGGACCAGGGGATGGGGATCCCTGATCTATACAGTCTTCCAGTTCCAACCGGCCCTTCAAGGGGAACTGTATTGCTGATGTGGCCCCCGGTGAAAATGAGTTGGACAGCCCTGCTTTACATCATGATGTTACCACTCTGTTAGTTTAGGTGAGTGACATCAATACTTGCAGTATGTGTGAAGTATGTGAGTTCTGACTTACGGCAAAAATTGAGTTACATTGCTGTGGTGGGTTAGCAGGTTAGCAGGAGGGAAAGCATGGGAATGGTGATGCAGATACAGCACCTGGCAAAAACGAGCGCAGTTCAGTCAATCGACACACTGGTTCACGTGTAAAGAGAAAGCATAGAGGTGTTTGTTTTTCAGTGACGTTTAGTATTCAGTATTGTGGATATTAAGAAGGAGCTAATAATTTAGTGTAATGTACAAAATGTATCAGCTAACTGTTCAACATAGGTTCTTTTTTTATCTATTTTAAAAAGGGACAATTATTCACATAAGTGTGCAGAGTGATTAACAACAACAGAATGGACAGAAAACTGAATAAATGAACGGAAATGAGTAAAATATACAAAAGTAATTTGTTCTTATATTGTTATATGATAATTCTTCCACGAGAAACGGTTTCTCGACAAGAGGTTGATCATTTAGTGATTTTTTTAACCCAAATTGTTTACCTTAGCTCACTGTTTAATAGCAGGTCAGAACCAATGTTTTAGGCCCAGTACTGGTCCACGGACCAGGGGATGGGGATCCCTGATCTATACAGTCTTCCAGTCAATCGACACACTGGTGCATGTGTTGTCTGTAAGGAGAAAGCATAGAGGTGTTTGTTTTTCAGTGACGTCACAGGCAACAACGATGCAGGAACTGTACGGATTGAATTAGCTATTTAAGAATTGTGTTTGAGAAAACTGTTTGTCTCTCAAGCGGCAGTTATCAGATTAACAGCTGCTGTCTTTGAACCTGGATCCAGGTAGAAGGTCCAACTGGCAAAAAAGAAGTGGATCATGAGAAAGTTCTTGTTCTGCTGATAATTCAGCGGGGACTGTGCTTTATCATTCTGAACGTTGGGACGGGCTGCCTCTGGGCATCAGGCAGGCTGAGTCACTTCCTGATCTTATCTTAGAACACATTTTCTCACTGTCTTTTAACTCAGTTTGAGCTGCAGACTTTGAGTTTTATTGATTTTATTGACTCTCTTTTCACTGATGTTTCTTGTTAACTTTTTTTATTGCTGTTCTTCTTCTTCAATCATTTTATGTCTTTTAATTCTCTCTGTCTTCTATTTGTTCCCTTGCTTGTGTGCAGTTGATTTCACCTGAGTCACGTTCGTGACTCAGATTTCCTTTTCACTGTCTAATACAGGCACATGTTAAAAATGACTTTATTACATTCACATTATATATTGTAGCTGTATTTTTGAATATGTATTTTCCATATCTTACTCTGTTTTGTCCCATAGTGAATTACCGTTTGACAATAGTAAATCACTATGGAATTACTATTTTCCATATTCCATATTGAAATGGATTTATGAGTTAGAGATGGACAGTCTAAAAAACTTTTGGAAAAATGTGTAATTTGTCTGTCACTGAGGAAAACCACATACTGTACAGTATTATCTTTGGCAAGTACAAGCAACCTTTGGCTCAGAGTACTCTGACCTGTCAAATGATTTACCTTCATACTTTAGCTTCATATCTTTCTTCGATGCAGGACACAAGTGTAGGAGCAGTTGTAAATTCTTACCACCAAGTCACTCCCCATTCACCGTCCGTCTGTATCATTGGAACAGCCGTACACTGGTAAGAATAGATTTAAATTTTAAAAAATGTCTGTTACAAAATCTGTCACAGACAACAAATGGTTTGCATTAGAAAATTATAATTCAACCAGGGGATAAGACAAGAATCAATATGTTACAGATTATGAAGAGAAACGTGTATTTTTGAACATATTAAGTTATATATACTGCCAGACTTCACAGAATATCCACTTAATAATAATAATAAGGGAGGTGCTTGTGAAAATAAAAGAATAAATGCATGTTAAAACCAAATAAGATGCAATTGGACATTAAAATAAATTTGAAAAATAAAGTCGATTTCTGTTCTTTTTCATTTGTTTTGTTTATTATAGTCAGTTCATGGCCTCACAGCATGAAAGTTCCTAGTTGATGACGAATGGGTGCTGATTTTTTTTCTGCTTAATGGCATTTAATAATATAATAACAATAATTATTACTATTAATAACAAAAAATGTTATGAAAATATTAATAATATTAATAATAATAAAAATAATAGATAGATAGATAGATAGATAGATAGATAGATAGATAGATAGATAGATAGATAGATAGATAGATAGATAGATAGATTAAAAAAAAAAATTTAAAAAGCCAAGATTCCAGATAAGATGAAAAGCAGAAACAATTTGATGCAGCTGCAGTGCATACAAATATCCATGACTACTATCAACATTTTGAACACTTGTTTTGGTGATGTAAGATTAATCCAACACAGCCTCAACATCTGCTGTGAGGAAACAAAGAGGATCTACAAGAACCTCTTGTTTACTTTAGCCTTTTTTTTTAATCCTCCAAATTAGACTTAGTTAGTGTGTTCTATGTCTTCATATTGCACCATAATTTAATGTTATTAAATGTCACTACAGTCAATAAACAGTCTGTGTGGGGGTCTAAGTGAGCAGACAGAAACAGCTTAATGTGCATTACTGCCACCTGTTGGACTTGATTTGAGTCACGCAAAGTAGCTGGCGCAAGGGCCTGTAATAAAGTGTAAAAATGAAAGTGGGTACATGTGTCTTCCTCTTTTCACTGCGATGGGGGGTGGGGGAGTGTATGTGTGGAGTCTAACCTACCAGTCAAAGGGTGGAGTGTCGTCTGGACAGACCACTGGTCCACGGCTGGGCCACATAGAAAGACAAACAACCGTCCACACAGCATCTCACGTCCACGCCCCTGCAGTCAATTTGATGTCTGATCCTGCGTCTTTTCGGACTGCGGGAGGAAACTGGAGAAGCTGGAGGAAGCTAAGGAGAGGTAGAAGATGAATGAATACCTGTTTGTTTCAACCATATCTCTAAGATATTCTCCTGATGAGTGTTTGCTTACCAATCAATCTGGCGGTCCGTGTAGATGAGGAGCATTAATACACGTTGGTATAAAAACCCTCACAGGAAAACCACGAAGGATAAAACTAGGGGTTTACACAGAGTAGCAAACTGATACAGAGAGGCAAAAGTGCCATCTACTGGGCACGTTTGGACCATCAGGCATCGAAATATATAAATTCTATGTTCATTCATCAATGGTCAGTGAGTTTATACTGTATATAGACTATTGTGTTTTTTCAGTCAAAAGTAATTTGTTTAGCATATACGTTTCTTTACGTGTTTGAACAGGAACAAAAATCAGAAGGCAGCAAAGTTGTATTCCTCTTTACTTTCTTCTTTATTACACATTAAATAGGAGTGGTGAGACTCATGGCAAAAAAACAAACAAAAAACAGACTAATTTAAGATCCAAGTACCACTGCACACTGCCCACAGCAGCTGTGTTGTAAAGTGGTCCTTCACTCACTTCCCTACCCCTTGACCGAGTCACAGACAGACTAGAGTGAACCTCCAGTGAAGCAACATTCATCTGGACACACCGACAAAATGAAGCACAAGTTACAAAACACGCACCTTTCAGTTTCACAACTACACAGAGGTCGTTAAGATTCGACCCAGGTATAAATGATACAGTTCCGGTCAGCTGTTGGCACGTGATAAAAGAAAATTTCATCCTTCAGTAAAATTGAAAATATTTATACAGGTTTTCTCAGTTAAAACTGCATCAAGAGTCATGGATTACTTTATGAAGTAAAAAATAAAGTAGGTCGTTTTCCATCACTCTCCATCATTTTTTTCTCCGAGTGTTTTTTTTTATGAGCATACACTAGAAATGTTGTCTCTGCTTTTTCTACCACATTGAAGCACCAATTTCAAAATGATGAAAAAAAAACGGTGTAAAGACTGCAAATGTGGAGATAATGATTGAACATTTATTGACCCTGAAAAAAAGTAGGACTTTTTTTTTTTAATATAAGAGCAGACAACGTCCTCTAAAAAAGAAAAAAAAATCCAAACAATCAAAAAAAACCAACACAATTCTATGGCATTTATTGCCTCATTTACAAAAATCATTTTCCGTTACATCACCATGATACATGAGCTCTGCAGAAAAACATTGGAACCTTTTCTGCTGGGCATTTCCATGAAAGGCTGTAGGCAACAGAAAAGAGTTCCACATTACTGCAGACAGAAGAATGCATCAAACATAAGGATTCACTGGGGCACAACAATAAAAATCAGATTCCTGATTTTTGCTTTAAGGGCCAATCTCGAGCAATAACAAATCAACAACAAAACATGCAAGGTGCGTAGCTCTTCTGGACAGCTACGGGAAAGTAATAAATTCCCCCCAAAAATATGGTAATAAACACTGTTAAATCACACTCTTTTGTTGGCAGCCATGTGCTGTATTTGTTATTATTTTTAAAAAATGCCAATTACATTATTGTGTTTGAAAACTAAATTCTGAATATTGTTAGGGTGGAAAAAAAACAGAAAATACTTAACATGTTAATAGGAAAAACATCGTTTGACCTTGCTTTCCGTGTATTTACCAATAACCCGATTACTAGTTTAGAAGAGCACTCGTTAATTATTAGTATTATTGTTTAAAAACTAGATTTGGATTCAGGTTCTCACATTTCTTGCTCTAGGAACCAAATCAACTGGGAGGTATTGGAATACCAGGGCCTGGGAGGAAAAGTGCATGCAAAGAAAAAAAAATATATATATATATAAATTTTCATACAAGCAAAACCTCACTCCCTGCATGGTACAAAGCAGTGACAATTTGACAATTAATTAAGAGTTAATTAGGATGTTTAACATTGAGGAAAAAAAAATAAGGTCTGCATGCATGACAGTGAACATATGGATCTTGTCTGGCCGAGTCTTTTTCCTTTCCTCATGCCTGTTTTGTCTACGAGAATCAGGAAGGAACTTTTGTTTTGGCATCCTTAAAGGGCACTTACAAAAAAAATTTGCAAGGTGGCCCTTTAAAGTAAAGGAGAGAAAAAAAAACTCTTTACAGTTCAATATGAAAACACGTCAAATAGGACATATTTATTAGCTCGCAGCTTCCACAGTTACTGTATATAAAATTATTCAAATGATTATATCCCTATTAAAAAAAAATTAAACTGGCTGGACCAACATGTTGGGCGGCTGGCACTAAACTGATTATAAAGCTTATTGGTGTCAAAGTAACAAATAACACAAAGGCAGAAAAATCAGGTCAGGTTTAGTATTCAGTATTGTGGATATTAAGAAGGAGCTAATAATTTAGTGTAATGTACAAAATGTATCAGCTAACTGTTCAACATAGGTTCTTTTTTTATCTATTTTAAAAAGGGACAATTATTCACATAAGTGTGCACTTTGTCTTGGTCTTCTTTTTCTTCTTCTTGCCTTCCTTGCTCATCTTCTCCTTATGCTTCCGGATTTCTCTCACTAATGTGTAAAAGGCGTCATCGACGCCCTGCGAAATTAAAATGGGAAACACATTGTCAGAGTGATTAACAGAAAACTGAATAAATGAACGGAAATGAGTAAAATATACAAAAGTAATTTGTTCTTATATTGTTATATGATAATTCTTCCACGAGAAACGGTTTCTCGACAAGAGGTTGATCATTTAGTGATTTTTTTAACCCAAATTGTTTACCTTAGCTCACTGTTTAATAGCAGGTCTGAACCAATGTTTTAGGCACATACCGCCACCTGTTGTATGATGCATGATTCAGTTTTCTTTTACTTCAACGGATGCGAATTGTTACACATTTGTATCAATTTTTAACTGATTCACAAAGCATCGTTACATCCCTACCTAAGACCCTCATAAGTGGACCACTATGTTTAAAAAACTCTCCCACAACCAAAGGGTTTTTAAAGTCTCTCTCTCTGGATGTAATACCGAATCTTTTAAACCAATTAAATCCTTTTAACGTGTCGCCAGATTTTCCACTGACAACCATGCAAATAGTAGCTGCAGTGACAAGAGACAGTTAATTAAGTTGAATAGATTCTTTTCCTCCTACAGTCTTTAAATAACTAATAAAAAAAATTAAAAAAAAAACAAGTGGTCCCATTCATCCTCCTCTTGGTCAATGGAAATTGTTAAAAAAAAACATGGTAATAAGGAAATGCATCAAGCACTTGGCAGTGTATCACTGTGAGTTTGAAGTCAAGCAACATGTTTATAAAATAGTTTGACTGAACAGATGGCAAACCTTCTGTTTCTAAACTTAAAAGTAACAAACATCAATCTGTTCAATGACGGTTCCTCTGGGAAGGACCATTAGTCCAAACATGTGCTTAAACCAATTAGAAGCTACAATTAAGTACAAGGGCAGACTCTCAGGTAGGTAAACATTTGCTGCTGGCAGAGGTATGATGCAGTTACTAAAATGTCCATGGTATTTACTACTGATTGACTATTTACACAATTAAATGAATATAATCGTCGTCATATTAAAAGCGGACTACGCTGCATATTAAGCAGTTTCTCAACCAATATTCAGCCAACCACCACGGGGGTGAGCAAAAACTGCTTAATTAAGAACGGAGCGTGCCCTGTAGCGAGCAGCACTCGGCGGCCTCAAACTGTTCAGTCTGTTCAGACTAACGGTGAAGGTACCGAGCATTGGAGGTGAGGAGAAGCTAGTACCTTGTAAGGAATCAACATCTATTGTCTGCAGGTTTTTTGGATACAGATGGAATGATGCTGAACAAAATTCTATACAAATCGTGCCGAAGAATTGTGTCTGCGCGTCAAAGTAACACAACTAACTTATTTAAACACCAGAGAAAACATCACATATAGGAAAAATTAATTATGGCTAAAGCTAAAGCTAGTCTATTACATCCCTGTCGTAGCAGCAACCCTGCACTGAGTGACACACTGAAATGACAGATGCAATAGCAATTTATCTGGCCGAGAACATGTCCAATAAATACTGTGAGTAACAAGGGCTTCAGAAACGTGGTGAAAACATTGGACAAGAAATATTGGATCCTCAAGCAATTATTTCTCCAAAAATCTTGCCTGACGTCAAAACT